AATCATCGAAAACGCAGAACCCTTTACAGTAGGAAAAAAATCAAAACCACCATCTGGCTCATCAACTGATAGGTGGATGAAGAAAGTGTGATCCGTCCACATAATGGGACGTTATTCCGCCTTGAAAAGGAGCGAGATTCTGACACTCGCTCCAGTGCGGATGAACCCTGAAAATCAGGTGTCAAGTAGAAAAAGCTGGACACAAAAAGCCTCGTATTGTGTGATTCCATTTATATGAACTATCCAGAGTAGATAAACCTGCAGGGACACAGAGGAGGTTCGTGTTACCAGGGCCTGGGTGAGGGACTCTTGGGGGAAAATGGAGAGTGACTGCTGATGGGCTGAAGGGTTCACGTTGAGGGGATGAAATGTTCTAGAATTGATGGTGGTGTTAGTTGTAGAACTCTGTGAATATATTAAAAACCATTGATTTGTACAGCTTCAACAGGTGAATCGTATCTCAGGGCATCTGATATCTGTTGCTCAAATATGTACATCCTATTGTAGACTTTATATATTACGATATATCTAGATTTATATACATATGTTTACATATATATGAACTATGTAGATGTTATGTAGAATTCATTTTCCTGTTGCTAACAGTTTATATGCTCAACTTACTAGACTCATCAGATACCATAAAGCATAAAAGCTTCTGAAATAAGTCCTAAGACATTTTCTCTCTGTCTTTTTTGGTTTTGTTTTGTATTGTTTTAGGGATGGGATCTCGCTCTATTGCCCAGGTTGGAGTGCAGGGGCATCAGCTTACTGTACCCTTAAACTTCTGGGCCCAAATGATCCTCTTGCCTCAGCTTCCTGAGTAGCTGGGACTACAGGCGCGTGTCACTGTGCCTGGCTAATTTTTTTTATTTCTTTTTTTGCAGAGATGGGGTCTTGCTATGTTACCTAGGCTGGTTTTGAACTGTTAGTTTCAAGTGATCCTCCCACCTCAGCCTTTGGGAGCAAGTGCTGGGATTATAGATGTGATTCTCCATGACCAGCTGAAATTTTCTCTTTAATACAAGTCTTACCCTTGTACTCATTGTATTATTGTTGTTGTTATTATTATTATATTTCTTACTCTTGGGCTCTGAATTTTCCCCATTAATAAAAACGGTTTATTTGCCAGTTATGTTCAGCATAACTAGAAAAAATCCAAAGACCAGCTCCATGTGGATAAATACAATGTTCTTGTTGGCTGCTGAATGCACTGATTTGTAATTTACAGTCTAGAGTTGCAGTTAGACATGAGGGTATGGTCTCACTTTAGGAGGGAAAAGAAGGAATCAGTGCTTCCCCCCTTCCCCATAACTCACATGTGTATTTCCCATATGTGTATATAAAGAATCTGTTTTTGAAAGCATCATCTATAATGAAGTTCCATTCTCTGTTCCTCCTCTTCCTACCTACACTGATGACTGTTCTTCTAAAGTTGGTCTGCTCTTTCTTCATTTTCAGCCTGTGTTTATATGTTACCTGTGTTGCTGTATGATGTTTATGGCTCTGTCTGCATTTTTTTTTTTTGAGACAGAGTCTCGCTCTGTCGCCCAGGCTGGAGTGCAGTGGCCGGATCTCAGCTCACCGCAAGCTCCGCCTCCCGGGTTTATGCAATTCTCCTGCCTCAGCCTCCCAAGTAGCTGGGACCACAGGCGTCCACCACCTCACCCGGCTAGTTTTTTGTATTTTTTAGTAGAGACGGGGTTTCACCGTGTTCGCCAGGATGGTCTCGATCTCCTGACCTTGTGATCCACCCGTCTCGGCCTCCCAAAGTGCTGGGATTACAGGCTTGAGCCACCGCGCCCGGCCTCTGTCTGCATTTTATTATCAAGTTAGGTGTGTGGGTGCCATTTAGCAGACAGCAAGGGGGGGACGCCCGTGTGGCCCCAGATGGAGGAGAGTGTTGCAGGCCCCTCCACCCCACCTCTCACGTATCCCTGTGACAGCTGGGGTATTTGTGTGTTTAACATATTTATCATTTTTTATGTACTTTTGCAACAAGCTTTCTCTATGTAGATCACTGTAATTTTAAGACTTCTCCAGGTTAGTTTTTGTAGTTCTTTTCTTTGTAGTTCATTTTGCTTCAGCTATAATTCAGGATTCCAGATGAACCCGAGCTCACTTACCCATCTCCTATTACTGGGTAATTAAATTGTTTTCTCTTTTTCGAAAGTGCAGGTTGGGTATCCCTTATCTGAAATTCTTGGGGTCAGGAGTATTTTGGGTATCAGATCTTTTTTTGGATTTTTGAATATTTGCATTATTTGTTACTAGTCAAGCATCCCGAATCCAAAATACTCCAGTGAGCATTTCCTTTGAGCATCATATCGGCACTCAAAAAGTTTCAGATTTTGGAGCATTTCAGATTTGGGATTGTTGGATTTGGGATGCTCAGTCTGCACAGAGAGTACTGCAGCGATTGTGTCTGTTCATTGCCTCCCGACTCCTCAGGCAAGCACCGGAGGATCCCAAGAGAAGGCATGAGCCTGGCGGGTCGCTGGTGTGCACACTTCAGCTTGGCCAAGTATTCCTGAGTCAGTCACCAAAGTGCTGTTCCGGTTTTCTTTGCCCCAGCAGCATAGGAGAGCTCTCCTTCCTGCATACCCTTGTCAGCACTGGAGCCACACTGTTACATAATCCTTGCGATGAATGTGAGGAAGTTACTGGAAAATACTGGGGTTGCAGGAGGGAGCCCATGGCAGCAGTGCAGGATGCTGAGCCTGGCACAGCCTGGAGAGCTGGGAGGGCCCTGCGGCAGGTGGTCCAGTGCCCATTTTACACCTGGGGAGCTGAGGCGCAGAGAGCCGTGGGCCTGCCCTCCTGGAGCCCGCTGCTTTGGAAGTGCCTTCCCGGATGGCGCGCACCCTCTCTATTTGTGGCAAATAGGGACTGAATCCCTTTATGGCTGGGTGGTTTCTGTATGGGGTTTTCTGGTGCTTTCCCAGTAAAGAGAGGAGTGGAATGTTCAGGCCTGGCCTGGACAGAGAGTGGAGGAAGCGGAGCTGTGGAAATAGCAAAACTCTATCTTTAAAAAAACTTCATATTGCCAGAAAAGTGGCCTGAGACAGTAGGTGATTCAATTGTAATCCCTTTAATAAATACAATTCCAGAAATGGACATGACAAAAATAGTACATGTAAATTAAAAGTTAAAAACAGCATTGTATTTGTACAGCCATGACCATAGGAACATTTTTCATCACGGTTGAAATGTGGAAGCTACCCAAGGGCTCACTGATAGGCAAATGGATAAGGAAATGGAATAGAATTCAGCCATAGAAAGGAAGGGCATTCTAGGCCGGCCACCGTGGCTCAAGCCTGTAATCCCAGCACTTTGAGGCCGAGGTGGGCAGATCACGAGGTCAGGAGTTCGAGACCAGCCTGGCCAACATAATGAAACCCTATCTCTACTAAAAATACACAAAAAGTTAGCTGGGTGTGTTGGTGCGCGCCTGTAATCCCAGTTACTTAGGAGGCTGAGGCAGGAGAATTGCTTGAATCCGGGAGGTGGAGGTTGCAGTGAGCTGAGATTATGCCACTACACTCCAGCTTGAGTGACAAAGCGAGACTCCATCTCAAAAAAGAAAAAAAAAAAAAAGAAAGGAAGGACATTCTGACATAGGCTATAACATGAATGAACCTTGAGGACATTATGCTCAGTGAAATAAGCCAGATGTGAAGGGACAAATGCTGTATGAGTCCACTTCTTAGCGGTCCCTAGAGTAGCCTGATTCAGAGAGACAGAAAGTGGAATGGTGCGTGCCAGGTGCTTGGGAGAGGAAAGTGGGGACGTAGTGCTTAGTGAGGACAGAGTTTCAGTCTGGGAAGATGCAGCTTCTGGAGGTGGATGGTGATGATGGTTGATGCAACAAAGTGAATGGACTTAATGCCACTGAACTGTGCACTCAAAAATGGCTAAAATGGTCAATTTTATGTTATGTGTATTTTACCACAATAATAAAAGATATGGAAGGGTATAGAGATTTCTTAAGGTTTCATTATTTCACATAGCAAGCTTTGTTTAATTTGTTTACCCTTCCTTTACCTGAGCTATGATTTGTCAATCCTTGTCAGGTGTCAATGACTTTATTTTCTTTTTAAAATTTATTTTTTTAATTGACAAAAATTGTACATATTTGTGGTATGCATCTTGATGTTTTGATATATATATACATGTGGAATGGCTAAATCTAACATGTGGATGATGTCATATACTTAACATTTTGTGTGGTTAGAAATTTAAAATCTACTCTTTTAGCAATTTTCAGGTATATAATGTATTGTTACTAACTTTAGTCACCATGGTATGCAATAGATCTCTTGAACTTCTAACTGAAATTTGGTATCCTTTAACCAATACCTCCCCAGTGTCCCCAACTCCCTAGCCCCTGGTAACCACCATTCTGCTCTTGGTTTCTTTGAGTTTAACTTTTTAAGATTCTACTTATAAGTGAGATCACGTGGAATTTGTCTTTCTGTGCCTGACTTATTTCACTTAACGTAATGTCCTCCAGGTTTATCCATGTTGTTGCAAATGACAGGATTTTCTTCATTGTTAAGGCTAATATTCCATTGTGTATATCTGCCACATTTTCTTTATCCATTCAT